CTCCGCCATCCCACTGCAGAGCCTCGTGACACCTTTTCTGATGCCGAAGCCTGAGACTCCAAGCTGCGGAGGGCGGGGCTGGCCCTACTGCGTCCTGACCTGGCTCTTCCCTCCCGCGGCTCTGATGCGGAGAACTAGGATGGCAAGATCACCACGGCGGGAAGGACCTACTTTCCAAAAATACCTCCTCCAGCCCTGCCCAGGTTTCACGAGTGGGCTGACCCGGATCCCGTGCCCTGTAGCCGGCTCTGCTGGTTTTTCACTCATCTGTAATTGTCGTCAGTCATACTTGCATGTAATGCTTCCAAACGCTTCTTACGAAAAGGTCTGATCACTTCCGGCTCATCTCCCTCTCGCTTCTGTTGCTGCCCCTCTTCCCCCGCGCACAGGCGTCTTCTGTTGACTTCCTGCTTTGGGACACGAGGCTTTAACTCTCAGCACAGCCCTTGCCCCCATCTCTCACACGCACACACACTTTGCATCCTCCCGGTAGAGGCGTGTGGCAGTGTTGATTACATCAGCATTAAGCTCCTTTCAGTTCTCTTCTCACAGATCCCAAATTGACCACTTCTCCCTACCTCCACTGCTACCCGAATTGCGGCCACAACCTCCCAGCTGTCCCCCATCCCTGTCCTCTCTGTCTTCGTCTGAGCTGCACAGATGCTTGTGGGACCTCGGTGGCCCAACCAGGGATCGAACCCGGACCGTTGGCAGTGAAAGCCCCAAATTCCTAACCCCTGAACCCCCAGGGACGTCCCATATCTGTGCTCTTCTCTGATCTGCCTCCATGCAGTAATCAGTGATCTTGTTAAAAAGCAGGTCTGATTGCCTTCAAAGCCGCTGGCTGTCCCCTGACTCCCAGGGGAGGCCAGAGTCCTTGCTCCGCACACGCCAGCCCCTCACGCTTCTCAGTCATGCTGTTTTCCCTCCCCCTTCCCTCTGCTCCAGGCACACTGCTGTTCTTGCTTCTCACACCAGTCGGGCCCCGCCTCAGGGCCTTTGCACTCACTGCGCTCTCCCTGGAATGCGTGTCTCCAGGCATCTGCACAGCTAGCTAACTTTCTTCAGATCTTGACTCAACAGCTATCTCAATGAGGGCTTCCTCCCTAAAAGGCCATTCCTCATCGTATTTCATGACTTCTTCCCCTGCTTCTTTCCCTCTTATCACTGTCTGGCATACTGATTATTTTATTACTCATTTTGTAATAACTGTTTTGTTTACATTCTGTATTTCTGTGTAAGCAATAGCGTCTGTCTCCTGCGTGAGACGGTAAGCTTGACCGCAGGAATCTGCGTCTGCTTCCTGTGGCACCTAGGGCAGAGAGCAGGTGTCTGCTCAGTGCTTGCTGGAACGACTGAGTGCACGCACGTTAATTATTCAGAGCCGTACAGGGCTAGGCCGTGTAGCGTGTGGACTGTGCCGTGATGATTTTCTGTTTCCCGGGTTCACGAGCTCTCCCTGGCAGCCCCGATCATCTTGTTTTGGCTTGGGCGTCTGTTTACCACTAATTCAGCTCCAGACTCTCCCCTCACTGGCGTGACTCTCCTCCCCTCATCTGTCCAACACACTGTGAATTTTCTCCTCGCTGTCTCGCTTCCTCTCAATTCCATCTTCTGGAACAAGTCTGTCCCAGAGCGTTCTTGATTTCTGTTTGTGGTTGTTTGTGGTTAGGGGAATATTCTATGAGGATACAGTCTTTGAAGATTTATTGAGGCTTATCTTATGGCCCAACATATCATTTTATCTTGGTCAGATTCTGTTCATTTTTCTTCCATTTTTTTTTTTCTCTTTGTTCTTCAGAGTAAATAATTTCTATTGATATTTCTTCAAGCCCACTGATTCTCTTTTGTGTCCATCCTGCTGTTACATTCAGCAGATGGATTTTCCACTTCACTTACTGTACTTTTAGGTTCTAGAATTTTGACCCTTTTAAAATATGTTTTTACAAATATTTTGTAAAATAGTTCATTTCTCTACTGAAGCCCCGTTTGCCCGCTCAGACTGATATTTTCCTTTAATCCTCGGATTACACCGAAAATAACGGCTATAATTCTTTGTGTACCCAACCCAGTATTGGGTCCATTTTGGCCTCAATTTATATTTACCACTCTTCTCTTTAGGGAGTCCAGTCTTCCTTATGATTTATTTATTTTTGCACATTTAGCAATTTTGTTTTACTGTACATTAGAGATACTGGTTTATACCTTGTTTGACTCTGGGTTGTGTCATCTTCTTTTGAAGAGCACGGATTCTGGTCCTTGTAGTCAACCCAGCGACTGGCTGATCGCCTAGAACGTGTGTCTGGCCTTGTCTTTGGTTAGGGCAGACAGGTGCAAGCCGGATGGTATTTCTCTAGCCTCTTACCTTGGTGGAATTTGGCCTCCAAACCTCGAGCTTAGCTTTAGGCTTTGTTGGGCAGGTGTCAGGAGGCCAGCTTCTCGCCGTGGTCCTCACGTCGGCTGCAGGCTTCCTGACGTCTCAGCTTCATACCTCGGTCACTCCGAGGGGCTCAGGCGGCCGCCTGCCCATGGCTGTGTCGGAAGGCCCCCCAGCACGGCTCAGCCGCCACGTCTGGTCTGTTTTTACCCCTGGAGGAGCCGCTGTCTGGCTAGAGCGGGGCCGGGGCCGGGGACGCCCCTCCCCTCCCCCGCCACAGGCTCTGGGCTCCGCCCCCTGCGTCACTCTTCATCCCAGTGACGTCAGCCGCTCTGCCTCCTGGGGACGCCCCTCCCCCGCCACAGGCTCTGGGCTCCGCCCCCTGCGTCACTCTTCATCCCAGTGACGTCAGCCGCCCTGCCTCCTGGGGACGCCCCTCCCCCGCCACAGGCTCTGGGCTCCGCCCCCTGCGTCACTCTTCATCCCAGTGACGTCAGCCGCTCGGCCTCCTGGGCTCAGCAGGACCACCGCGTCCCGCTTGGACGCTCACCCCGGTCCTGCGGCCAGTCAGCCGCCGGGAGAGCCCCGCGAAGGCTCCCTGGTGGCCAAGGTGGGTTCCACGAGCTTTGCCTCTCTCGGGCATCCTGGACTTGTGCTGCTTGCCGTTTATGGCCAGAAAACCAGCCTCTGTGTTTTCTCCGTCTGCCGGTTGTCTAGGGAGTGGGGCTTCGTCTGCCACTAGTGACCCTGCCCGCACTGGGGGCCCTGGGGAGCTCCCTCCCGCCGTGGGGGCCCTCCACCTCTCTTTCTTTTGTGTTCAGTCCTCTGTTTGCTGGGTCCCCGTTTTCTTCATTCTGGTTGATTTCAGCAGCTTCCTGAGAAAGGGTGGCAGGTAAATTTCCTGTGTATCTGAAAACGCCTTCATTGAACCATCGCACTGGACTTGTAGGGATTAGGGGAGAATTCTGGGCTGGAGGTCATCTCCCTCCGTAATTCTAGGCACTGTTTGATTGAATGTCTAATGGGATGTGGCTCTTTTGTGCAAAACCTCGAGACCCGTTTTTCCTTCCTTTCTTTTTCTTCCCTTATGTGTAAGGGTCGCGGAGTTCCCACAGCCAGGAGTTTGTGTGGGTCCGTCTTCCTCCACCGTGTCTGCGCGGGGGGCCCTTTCAATCAGTTCCGAGGAGATTTCTTGAAGTATTTTTTTGATTTTACTGTTCTTTTTTCCCCCAAACCTCTTACTATCTTGATGGTGGACCATCTAGGCGCTTCCACAATTTCTTTTCTCTCTTTTCCAATTCTTTGCATTTTTTGTTTTTCCTTTACTTGGAAAGAGTTCTTCTGGTTTGTCTTCCAACCCTTACGTCACACTTTTCATTAATATTTTTAACTTTCAAGATCTCTTTCTTTCCTTTCCAAATGCTCTGTCTACTGAAAATAAAGGTGTTCTCTTACCATTTCATGGATCTTTCCTAATGAAAACACTGCTGATTGCTTCTGAGATTGTGAGACACTCTGCCGGGTCTCTTCCGCCCAGGTTGCTTTTCCCGTGTCTGCTTGGCCTCTGTCTTTGTGATCTGTGTTCGCCTCTGGGGTGTGGAGGGGAGTCCTTGACCATCTGGGTCCTGGGCTGGCGTGGTGCTGAGGGTCCTGCCTTTTGCTTCACCCCCGCATGAGCTGTGCCCAGGGTCTGCTTCCTGGAGCCCCTCACCCTGCGGAGCACACGGCCGGCCTGACGAGGGGTCTGGTTTGGCGAGTCGCGGCCCAGAGCGAGCGCGTCAGCTGTCAGACGACCCTCGTGGGGCCAGGACTAGGTGGTCATTGCACAGTGTCTGGGCTAGGGGCCCAGCCTGCAGGGCTGTGCCAGGCCTCGGGCTCTGCCCCACCCGGGACACGCCTTGAGAACCCGGCAGAGGCCCCAGCGTGCCTGTGCCCGCGGAGGGGAGTGGATGGCCTGTGGCTCGGGAAGGACCAGAGCCAGGGTGCTCCTCCGGGCCTGGGGCCTGTGGTTTGTGCAGCAGGGAAGACCCCTGCCCTGGGGGGAGCCAGAGATGATCTTGCCACGTGGGCCCCTGTCCTGGGGCGCTGGGGCAGCGAGGACCTGCACGGGAGGGGCGTTGCGCTTGGCGTTGCGGTTAGAGTTGGGACTGGGGTTAACAGACTGGGTCAGCTGATGACCGAGGCTCCAGGAGCAGACTCTGCCCATTGCCTCCCCCAGCCCCCCACCCCAGTGTCGGCATCTTCCCCGGCCCCGCTGAGGCCGAGCAGAGAGCCTCAGGGCTGGGGGCCTCCCCACAGTGGGGGAGGCGCTGGACGCGGCCCCACAGCAAGCCTGGTGTCCAGGGCAGAGAGGGCGTGACGTGGGTCCAGCACACGTCCTGCCTCCACGCGGAGCCCACCCTTTCGCCCCCGGGGACGCTCCTTGGTCCCCCTGTCCTGCTCAGGCCTCTGAGCTGCCTTCCCAGAGGTCAGGAGGCCTCTGCGCCCTGTCCACCTCCTGGCCCGTCCTGTCTGGTACCTGCCGGCAGTCTGCCCTGCAGAAGCAGCGCTTTGGGTGTGGGGCTGGGGGCCCGGCCTCCCGGTCCCCTGCACCCCCAGGTTCACAGGGCACCTGTTTCTCCAGCTGCAGATCTGGGACACGGCCGGCCAGGAGCGCTTCCGCACCATCACGCAGAGCTACTACCGCAGCGCCAACGGGGCCATCCTGGCTTACGACATCACCAAGAGGAGCTCCTTCCTGTCGGTACCGCACTGGATTGAGGACGTGCGCAAGTACGCGGGCTCCAACATCGTGCAGCTGCTCATTGGTGAGGCCGGCCGGACGGCCGTCTGTCTGTCTCCTTTGTGAATGAAGGGTGGGCGGGGCTTGGCCAGGCCGGCGCAGAGCCAGGACCTGAACGTGATCTAGAAGGCGCAGTTGCTGCTGGTCACCTGTAAAGTTGCATATCCCAAAGTGGGAACCAGAGGAGGGGCCTGGAGGCAGTCACCACGTGGCCGCACCCTGGCCAACGCTGGTTCCCTCTTCGTCAGGCGTCTTCTCAGAACCCTGCCCGCTCCTCCTGTGTCAGGGTCGGGCTGAGAAATAAGAAGTAATTTCTCCTTAATCCATGCAGCCCCTGAGCACGTGAAGGAGGCTGGTCATGATTCAGGGGCTCGCTCTGTCATCCGCTGCAGAGGGGCATCTCACACGTCTGTCCACCTCTAGGTCTCTCTGAAGTCAGACACTCCCCGGGCGTCTGATTGGGACGTCTAGGTGGGCCCGTGAGTGTGTGTTTCTAGCAGGTTCCAGGTGACAGTGGCGAGCCCACCCGTGAACCACTGCTGCAGGGCGCACTCTGACCACCCTCTGCCTTTTCCTCCTGCATCAGCTTCTCAGACCTGGACTCAGGAAGCTGTGGCCCACTTGTGTGCCCCTGGGGCCCTTGTCACAGGCCTCAGGCTGGTTCCTCTCAGTGGGCTTGTACAGATGGGCCTGGGCTGGAGTGTGGGTGCGCTGGGCCAGATGGTTCCCCACCCCCCGGCCAGAAGGGAGCCCTCCCCACCTGCCCGGACACCTCCCTTTCATCCGGGACTTAGAACAAAACCTTCCCTGCAGAGTGTCTCACACAAGCAGAAGGGGCTAGCGGGACGAGCCCAGGTCAGCAGACACCGCAGGCCCACCCGCAAGTCCGTCCGCAGTCATCTCAGCCCTCTGTCCCTGCCCCGCACGGTCCTCGGGGGCAGACCCAACACAACCATTTCACTTCCGGGTGTTGTAGCGCAGAGCTACAAGACACACGTGCTTCAAAACGTATGATAATGGTGCTATTTTCATATCTAAGAAGTACTGACCTCTCCTAACACAGTGAGCTAGCCAATCTGGGTCAGGTCACAAATGTCATGCACTTTTCAGTTTGTTGAAATCAGGATCCAAGTAAGCGGCAGCCCCCCCGCCCGCCACAGAAACTGGCTGCTGCATTGTTTACATTTCCCACACGAGTTATAGGTCTTTTCTTCAAGGCGTTTGTGTGTGTGTTTTTCGGCCATACCACACAGCTTGGAGGATCTTAGCTCCCCGACCTGGAACTCAACCCTGACCCCAGCAGTGAAAGCGCTGAGCCCTGACCACTGGCCCACCAGGGAGTTTCCTAGACCTTTATGATGCCTCTCTTTGTCGTTGTCCCCATGATCACATTATGAAAGTCAGTCACTTGCTAAGTCGCTAAGTCGTGTCCAACCCTTGCGACCCCACGGACTGGAGCCCACGAGGCTCCTCTGCCCATGGGATTTTCCAAGCGAGAATACTGGAGTGGGTTGCCCTTTCCTTCTCCAAGATGTATAAAAAAAGTCTGGCATAAAGTGGGCCAAGGAGCAGCTGACCAGATTACCTAAAATATAACGAATCCCCTTACACCTCAGAGGAGAAGCCGAAGCGTGCTCTCAGAGCAGCTGTGGTCTGCACCGTGCTTATCAGAAGAGCAAAATCATCAAAACCCATGATCTTACAGAGAATTAAAAAAATCCCCCTCTAAAATAGGAGAGGGTTAATAGTAAACATAATAACAAGATTTTACCAAAAAAAAAAAAAAGCAAGACCAGATTTCTTTGACTTCACGCCCCGGTGCTTCAGCAGTAAACAATCTGTCTGCAATGAGGGGGACCTGGGTTCCATCCCTGGGTCGGGAAGATCCCCTGGAGGAGGGCACGGCAACCCACGCCAGTGTTCTTGCCTGGAGAATCCCATGGACAGAGGGGCCTGGCGGAGTACGGTCCATGGGGTCACAGAGTTGACGGAGGGCCTGCCAGGGGCCAGCTCACCGTGTCCGTCCTCCTGCTCTGCAGAAGGTGGCGTCCCGGGTGGGCAGGCTGAGTCTCAAAGATGGAATGACTCACCCCGGGGTTACACAGCAGGCGGCTGGAAGCCGGGGTGTCTACCCGCAGCTGTCTCCAGCTCTAAGGGCCCCCATTCTTTTTGCCCAATTCTGCTGCTTCTATTTCGTAGAGAAAATTCAATAAAGTAGACAAGCCTCTGGCACAGAGAAAGAAGAGGTTATATGAGGGAATAGTGAAAGCGATAGTTGCTCAGTTGTGTCCGATTCTTTGTGACCTCATGGACCATAGCCCGCCAGGCCCCGCTGTCCATGGGATTCTCCAGGCAAGAACACTGGAGCAGGGAGCCTTTCCCTTCTCCAGGGGATCTTCCCAGCCCAGGGATCAAACCTGGGCCTCGCATTGCAGGCAGATTCTTTACCAGCTGAGCCCCAAGGATGGGGTAAGGGAATTAAAATCGAGATGGAGCCCCAGGCTCGCGTGCCTCACCGCTGCCCCCGCTTGCCCGCAGGGAACAAGTCAGACCTCGGGGAGCTGCGGGAGGTGCCGCTGGCTGAGGCGCAGGGCCTGGCGAAGCACTACGACATCCTGTGCGCCATCGAGACGTCGGCCAAGGACTCAAGCAACGTGGAGGAGGCCTTCGTGAGGGTGGCCACAGAGCTGGTCGTGCGGCACGGCGGCCCGCGGCTCAGCGAGAAGGGCGCCGACCACATCCAGCTGGACAGCAAGGACGTCGCGGAGAGCTGGGGCTGCGGCTGCTGACGGGGCGCCCGCGGGGGAGGCCGGGTCACCGTCTGGAGGCCTGGGCGGGGGAGGGCAGCGCCGGCCTCCGCGAGGGAAGAGGCAGGGGAGGCCTGGTGGCCTGAGTCCGGGTGTGGACCCTGGCGGGCGTTCCCCCAGCTCTGCACTTCCTGGTCTGGCCTGTGTCACCCCTGAGGCTGCTGCACCTGGCAGTGGCCCCGGGTCCTCCCAGGTCCCCCCAGGGCCTCCTGTGCGGCCGCGGACCAGGGGCAACTGCCCGAGCTCAGCCCAGGGCCGCCGGCCTCCTTCCCTCCCTCGCTGCCACCTGGCTCTGGCTGGCTCCTCCCCAGCGGGCCCCGCCTCTCCCGTGCCCCGGGAGCAGCAGGCAGCACCCACAGAACCCAGCCGCTGGCCTGGGGGCCGGAGCATCTCCGCTCAGGCTGCTGAAGCACTGGCTCCTCTAGCTCTGGCTCTCAGTAGGTTGGGGGAGCAGGCGCGAGGTGGGGGGGCGGGCATTTCAGGGGTGAGTGGAGGCCACCCCGGCTCACCCTCCGTGCGGAGATCCCCACTGCCACGGTCAGACCACCAGCGGCCCGGCTGCCCGGGGTCTGGGCCCAACACCCTCGTGGCCTTCGGCTGGGGCTGAGGTCAGAGCGACAGTGGGGCCCTAGACGACCCCGGGGGCCCTCGGAAGGAGCACCGTCCCCTGGGCTGGGGGGCGAGTGGTCTCCCCTGGTGGCCCCAGCCCCTCCCCATTCAGCCCCTCCCCCCTCCCTCCTGCCAAGCGTGTCCTCTCTGCGGTCAGGCTGCCGGCTCTGGTCCCTGAGGAACGGATACTGGCTCAGTCGGGCCTGGAGCTGCTGGGCAGGGGTCTACCCTGGGGGGTCAGCCCACTATCAGCTGGGTGGGCTGGGAACTGTGAGCGAGAAGGCTGCTCTGTCCTGCTGCTGGGTGGGGCCTGGCCCCTCAGCCTGTGCCAGAGAAAGCACCCGTGCTGAGGTCTCAGAAGGGCCCCTCGGGCCAAGGGCAGAGGTCCTCCAACCCCAGGACCCCTCTGCTCGGCAGCCTTCTCTCTCCGGGGGCAGGCGGGGCACCCCAGTTCCGGGAAGCACAGGTGCTGAGCCTGGGCCCGGGGCTGCCTCGCAGGCCTTGGGGAGGGAGGGAGCCTGGGCTGCGGGGATGGCCCGGGGGGACAGCTGTCTGGCGCCGGGAGCTCCTCTGCCACCGCGGGCCGTGCCCGCTGCAGCCTGGAACACGGGGTCGCCTCGGGCTCCCCGCTTTCTTTCCCCACCCCACTGCCACGTCCCTGCTGCCCCCTCCGCCCAGAGCGGCCCCACCCCCTCCCCGGACACCTCCCTGAGCTCCTTGGCCTGAGCTTCCGCTGCAGGCGGACACCCCCACCCCCTCTCCCCGCTGATGTAAGGGGCGCTGTGAAAGGTTCCCCTCCCACCCGACACCTTCCGCCCTGGCGCCCTGGGACGGGTCCACCCTCACGGTTCAGCCCCGGGAGCAGCCTCTGCAGGCGGGCCCCGCCCCCCGCTCGCCCCGCCCCCCCTTTGATTCGGTGTCATTCACAGCCCACGGTGAGAATGCCTTCCGGCGAGGTTCCGGGTCCTCGGACGCCCATGCCGGTGCTCCGGGTGCGGCATGGGCATGCTGCTGGCGGCCTGATCGGGGGTGCCCGGCAGGCGGGGCCCTCACTGCCTCTGGGCCCTGGGCCTCTGTCAGAAGGCCCTGGACTTGGATGAGAGTTAATGTCTAAGGGAAGTCTAAGGAAAGTGTCTAAGACGACACGGCCCGCCTCTTCCCAACAGTGCAATCTCTTCCTTTGTTTATAAATTACCTGAGATCGGGAGCGGGTGGGGTCCCCCCCACCCCGGGCCTGCAGGAGAGGAAGTGGGCTAGAGGACCGGGAAGTGTTCCAGCCGCCAGCCACCCCCGCGGAGGAGGTGGTCTGTGGTCTGGGCTGAAGGAGGACCAGGGGACGGTGGGGTTTATATTTACGGAAGGAGGGTGGGCAGGCCAGGGACCTCCGAGCCAGAGCGGTGGGTCCCTGTCCCAGAAGCAGGGTGGGGGTTGACCCCAAGGACACAGGCCCCAGCCGGTTCGGAGCTGGAGGAAGCTCCTAATTCATATTGAATTCAGTTACTTCTCCAGGGAAGGCAGCGGGGCTGGGGCCTCAGGGACCCCGGAGCCTGCACCGGACTGGGGCTGGGGAGGGCCTGAGCCCAAGGATGTTGTTGCATTTGGAAATTTTTCTCATTGCCTATTTATGAATATATGAATCTTTATAGCAAATCTATTTTTTAAAACATGGAAAAAATTTGCCTTTATGGAGACTTAGCAGAGCCAGAGTGTACACATTCCTAAACCATTAAACGTTTCTCTAAGGAGCCATCCGTGCCCAGATTGGTTCTCTTGTTTGAAACTTGGAGATGGCCCAGCGGCCACATGCCCAGAGACCCCTGGAGGCCCTTGCTGGCCAGAAGGCATGGCTGCCCAGCCACGCTGCCCCTGCCTGCCCTGGCTCCCCTCTGAGACACACTGGGGGCCACATGGGCCTCCACTCAGACCCCATGTCAGCCTGGGCTGGTTCGTGACCTTGGACGAGGCAGCCTCTGTCGGAGCCCTGGTTTCCTCAGATGGGGGACACATGCTTCAAGCCTCCATCCCAGAGTGTGTGCTGTCACGTGGCCAGTGTGGGGTGAAGGTGCCAGCAGCCAGGAGGGCGTGAGAACCGGGTGGGACCTGGGAAAGGGCCCTGGGGTGTCCAGAGATGGTGGGGTTGCGGGTATTTGGAGGGCGGGAGGTGGAGGTGGACCCAGCCATTTTACTAGGAACTTGGGGGAGAGGGGAGCCCGGATCAGCGTCTGTCCGAACACAGGGAAAGGGTGCAAACCCGCTAAGAGGGAAGCATCTCCGAGCCTGGGTAAGGGCTGGCTGGGCGGCGGGTTTCTTCTGAGCTACCGGGGGCTGGCCCGGGTCACCGGGACGGTGCACAGCAGGCTCACCAGGAGAGCCAGGCCCAGAGCGGCCACGACGACCAGCGCCGCGTCCCACCAGGGCCCCGGGTGGGCCCAGGACTCGCGCAGACTCCAGCCGCAGCCGCCCAGCTCGGAGCCGCTGAGCTGGGCGGGCGTGCGGCCCGCGGCGTGGGCGGGGCCGGCGCAGCGCAGGCGCCGCAGCTGCTCGGGCGCGCGGTCCTCCAGCCAGAGGCGCAGGTAGACAAGCCCGCAGTCGCAGCGCCAGGGGTTGTGCGTCAGGTCCAGGCCCTGCAGCTGCGGCAGGTGGTCGAAGGCGCCGGGGGGCACGGTCCGCAGGCTGTTGTTGGTCAGCAGGAGCTGGCGCGTGGGGGCCGGCAGGGCGGGGAGCGCCTCGAGCCCGCGGCCGCGGCAGTCCACCTGCAGCCCCATGGTGTTCAGCGCTCGGCAGGCGCAGGCGGCCGGGCAGTCCTCGGAGGCCTCGGTGGCCGCCCAGAGCAACAGCAGCGCCACCCACGGGGGCATCGGGCGTGAGGGCTGCGGGGACAGTGGCAGTGAGGTCCCGGCCGCCTGTCCCCCGCCCCTGCCCAAGGGCCAGCGGGGCCCGACCGGACAAGGGACCGCTCACCTCCGTCTCAGGCCTCGGCTTTCTCCTCTTTGAAATGGGTGGTGGGGACGTGGGCGTGAAGCTCCTTGGACCCAGGCCGGCTGGCCCTCCCCGGATGCTCAGAAGGCCTGAGGGCTACTGCGAGGGGGGTGAGGAGTGGACTCAGTCCCTTCCTGGGAGGGGTGGGCCCGCCTGCCCCCTGGGAGAGACACCAGCCTCTGCTCAGGGCCGGGGGCAGCAGGGGCCAGCTGAATGACAGCAGGCCAGGTTAGGGTCTCTCCCCAAGGCTCCGCACACCTGAGCCTGGGTCTGGTGGATGGCGTGCACACCACCGACCACCCCTTGGCCCCTGAGTTCAAACCCCTCTGCCCAGTTCACAGCAGAGTGAACTTTCTCAGGGTCCCTGGTATGCAGAGCAGCTGGCTGAGGTTGCTTGGTTGGGGGTAGGGTGGGGAAGGGGACACAGACCGGGCTCCATCTGGAAAGCCCTAGATCAAGGCTCATGCTTGGAGTTGGGAAAGGGGCCCAGAGAGGGAGACTGCCTCCTCCAGAGCTGCCCAGCGCTCTGTCAGAGACCAGGCTTGCACTCGGTTCTTAGGAACCCCAGTCCTCTGCCTGGCTCACTGCCCCTCCAGGACTTGGTGGAAGCTACCTCCCCTTCCGAAGGTGGGCTCCCACCAGGGCCCGTGGCAGGCTTCCAGGGAATGTCTGTTTAATAAACCAATGAAGCTTGACTCAACCAAGCACCCGGTGTCTCAGAGGGAATGCCTGGCTGTGCCCCTGCCCCCCACCCCAGCCAGGAGGGGCAGAGGCTGGACTCGCCACAAGTCTGCCTCTCTCTGCCAGGCCTGGACACAGAGCCCCCAACACCCAGGAGGGGCCCGCACGGTGGGAGGTGGTGCTGGGTGATGAGGGCCACTTACCTGACTGGCCTGACCTCGGGGTGCCCCTTCTGTGGCCTGAACTGTTCTGGCCGAAGCCACGGTGGCTGGCCGCGCTGTGTGAAGCAGCCGACGGTGACCCCTGCCTCAGTGGGAGGAAGGAAACGGTGAAAATAGCCTGGCTTATCCCCGTGCGCAGCCCTGGAGGGCCTCTCTTCAGAGGCGGCGGCCCTCGGGGTTCCAGGAAGTTGTGCTCAGAACCGCGGGTCAACCCCAGTTTATCGGAGGGTGCAGTGCATCCCGGGGCTCCCCTGGTGGCTCAGCTGGTGATCCGCCTGCAGCGCGGGAGACCCCGGTTCCATTCCTGGGTCGGGAGGACCGCCTGGAGAAGGGAAGGGCTGCCCCTCCAGTGTTCTCAGGCTTCCCTGGGGCTCAAACACTAAACAATCTGCCTGCAATGCGGCAGACTCAGGTTCAACCCCTGTGTTGGGAAGACCCCCTGGAGGAAGGCATGGCAACCCAGCCAGTATTCTTACCTGGAGAATCCCCATGGGCAGAGGAGCCTGGTGGGCTACAGTCCACGGGGTCACAAGGAGTCGGACACAACTGAGCGACTAACACACACTTTATTATGTTATAAAAATGTCAGTAATATGAAATATCAACTTGGTATGGGGTTTGCAGAGATGGGAAAACGTATACCCGTGGCGGTGGGGGAGCTGGGGTGTGGTAACCACAGGTACAGCAGTGCTTGGG